CCCCAAAACCCCAAAACCCCAAAACCCCATCAATCAAAATCAAATATATATTGAAAAATGTCTCAATATTAATAAATAATAGAAATTTGAATCATTACAAATATTTAAAACTCACTCATTCAGTTTTCACTCTTTTAGGTTTTCCTGATGCACTAAATTCTATCTAAATTCCTTTTTAACCAATTACAATACCCTGTAAGGCATCATAAATCTCAACTGCCTTATTTGTATCTTTAAAATTCATGAAGCCTTAACCCCTCATTCTGCCCTTGTTCATAATTGTGACATCTACCTCATTTTCAAGTTTAGCTTAATCATCGTCGAAGAATGGCAAAAGCAATTTGATAAAATCTTTTCTCTCTCCTCTTTTATCGATATTCTTAATATACAGACTCTTTGTAACTTGCTTATCTCTCTTAGCTTGCTAGAAGTTAACTCTGCCATCAGGAGCCTTGGACTATTTCTAAAACCAAATATCATAATCAAGCTCCTAAAGCTCCTACTGAGCTTTGTCATTTTAAGTTATTTATAATTCAAGATGCTTAAGATAGTCATCTACATCTTCAAACTATTCTATTTAAACTACCTACTGCTTGATTTGATACAATTCCTATTTACTATATTAGATGCTGGTATATGGATCAATATTAGTATCTTTGTTCTGAAAAGATTAAGCCATATTTTTCAGATTCTAGTTTTCATTAGATATTTAAGCTTATACTATTTCTTAAGAGGGAATATCTTGCTGGAAAATATCAAATTTAATATTTGGTCTCTAAATTGGAATACTATTATCAAATATCTTAGATTATTTAATATTCTCACTAAATTAATCGAATCTCTCTGAGGTATCAGCTACTAAGTTTTGATTTAGTATTTATGTTAATTTATCCTCTAGGGTTTCATTAGATCTTTTTAGTTCCAATATCAACTATTTTGAAGTAAAAAGAACCTATTGTAATTCACTTATTCTAGTATACTCAAGATCTATAATTTTGATTCCTTCTTTATAATTAACAGTAATAGAGTTAACCATATCATTTAATATTCTACTTCCATTTTTTACAAAAGATATCCTTTCAGTTACTTGATTACTATCTTTTGAATCAATTATAACTTTTCCTATTTCCTCATTTCCCAAATCCTACTCATTTATTAATGCTTAAGACTAATTGTTATTGAGAGATGCCTTTATAATATCAAGCTAAAAATTCTAAAATATTGGATTAAAGCTCAGTGTAATTTACATTTTTAAGTTGATCTGATTTAAGAAAAGTATGATTGTCCAAAAAGTCTTCTTCAAAAGGGGGTTCTAGCGATAGAACGTTCATCAAGTGACAAACCTTAATATAAAACTTTTCATTTTAGATAAGCTAAATTGAAATGTTCTTCACTGTTTTTGGATTCGCATCTGGATACTTATACAATAGAGGAGCCTTGTTGAATGCCTACCTAATTAGTTATAAGTATATAGACTATTAAATACTCTATTGGAAAATCTGATTTTTTCTGTTCTAGTGAAGATCCCTGCTTGACAAATACTTTTTCATATAAGTCTCTCAACTTTTCTTTTCTCTTTTGTCTTATTTTCATTTTTAATTAATACTTTTAGATATTTGAATTGAATATGTGGTTGGGGTTTTGGGGTTTTGGGG